GTGCCCTGATGTGGGTCTGGCTGACTAAGGCTGACACTTAGGAAGTCAGTAGGTTTGCTGCTCACTCAGTGAACCGCTGAATTGAGCCTGTTGTGTTAACAGCAGCTGTTCTCTTTTTCTTCAGGGATGATGCATGAAGCTTGTTTACAGATAGGAGTTGAGGCTAATTAGTTTTTTAAGCTTTATTTTCAATCATTTTTATTAATGTGACTGTTTTTTTTGTTGGTGCTGCTTGGTTGTTATGGTCTTATTGCAAATATATAATTTTGACTTGATTAAACAAAGGTTTAATCAAATAAAGTCAGATGAGGTTGACAGGATATTACAGATGCCATCCTCTGACTTATTGCTCTCACTGTCCTTGTAAAATTTCCCCTTGTTTTAATTTAGGGGGAATTTCACCCTCTTGGCAGTGCACCTTCCTCTTACTGCACTGGCTCAAACAAAGTGTTTGTTGTTAAAAACACCTTTCCTGTGTATCCAGATGTATTTGAAACGTCTTGCTCTGTTGTCTAAAAATGTGTTTGAAGGAGGTGAAATTGTCCAACAGCTGGTGATAATTTTCGTGCTTTACCATATTTGAAATTATTATTCCCTCAGAAATTAAGTAAAAGCAAGCCAGTTTAAAAGTTCAGGCTGCACAACTATTTCACTCCCGGCGTTGTTTTCTTGACTTCTTTGGTTATATTATTGGTTCTTTTTTATGTTCTTTGAGTTTTGAGAAGTGCAAAGTGTTATTTTATCAGTGATTACGTGCAGTAAATTATATTCTATGACAGATTACAAACATGAAGTGGTAGAAATTCCATCAGAATAAACATAAATTGGGAGTAGTAATGAAGGGCTAGTTATGAAACGAGAGAGATTGATGGTAGGAAGGGAGGAATGCTGTCGTCTAGACTTCCCTCTTCACCTCCTTGCTGGCCTCTCCTCTTTACAGAGCTCCAGATGGAGGATTAACAGTTCACTTGACACGCTGCACTCTCTCCAACACAATACCTGTGTCTAACACAAAACACACACACACATCCACACAATAGAAAGGTTGTGTGTGTGTGTGTGTGTAGTTATGTTGGGAATGAGTATTGTCTTTATTTCCTAGCTGACTCTGCTCAGTACTGCCCCCTGTCTGTTGTTATGACAGTTTCACTCTGGTCAAGAGAGCAGAGAACACAGACTTGGCAGAGACGATGAATCTCTGAACTGTTTATTGTCCAGATGTGGTGCTCTCATCTTGTTTGTGTACAACTTATCATTAAGATGGCCTCAACTCATTTGTTGCACTTTAAAAATTGAAATTATTCTGAAAACCAGTGAACCACAACAAAATAGGTTTACTTCTCAATATTACACTGAGAGGCGACTATCTCTTTATAATATCCTGAAATCTAATGTCATTAAACCATTAACCTGATCAATGTGTAAACAAATCCAAAGGAACAAGAGAAGAAGAACATCTAATGCTGCCGCGTTCAGCTTTCTCAGGACAGACGGCTAGTTTGCTGGGGTTTTTTTAAGGCTTTGTTGGCTAGCAGATGTAGTGCATGGACCTGACAACAGATGTTTATTGGATTATTTACAGATGTTACAACACAGCTCTGTGGTGTTGGCCTGAGAGGGTGGGTTTTATTTTTGCTTTATAGTCTTGTTTGGTGCAGTTTAGATCAAATCTGAGATTTACTCATCAGCTTGAATCACAATGTAAGTTTATTCAGATGGGATAAAACAACCCAACACATTCCCATGGCAGGACATCAAATACTAACACTTTGTCAAGTACCTCTGCCATCAGTATGAGATGCAAAGGCTTTTTAATACAGAACAACATTAACCCACTCATCAGTATGAAACACTAAAGGTACTTGACAATGCATCAGTATTTGACACACTGTTATGAGAGCAGGCTGAACAACCATGGAGTTCCAACATAACTTTAGTCACCTATTGTCTGACAACAGACAATAGTAACAGATTTGTTCATTTACATACTTTGCTATTTCAAAAGGATTTAAAGTATTTGGAAATTGCAAATAACTGGGAAACAGTGAAATATTAAAAGAGTTTAATCACCATAATCTAAGCAAAATCCCTTACTCAAGTCAAGAAATTGTACCCCTCAGTGCACGTGAGCTGTTGCCATTCAGCCTTGTGCTATTATGACACATTCCAACAGATGCAGCTCGATGAACACTCTTAAGTGAACACTTTTAATAGAGAATATGATTTCTAAGCTTTTCCTTAAGTGATTTCTCCAGTATCCTTCATTATCTGGAGCTCAGCCGGTTGCTCTTCCCTCCAGTCAGCACTGTTTAAAATAATTCACCAGTTTGCAACAGGTGGCCTCTGGCGTGTAGAGCAGACACAGGGTGTTTATCTGACAGTGTAGACCCTTCTATTACTGGAACAGCCTCCAGCCCACCTGGTTAATAATGTGTGTCTTTGTCTGAATGAAGAGAGATGCAGTTTGTTGATGTTTTAGGAACTCGCTACCTGCAGCTGAGCTGTGTTTGGGCTGACAGTCTGGCACATAGATATTAACTTCACCACTGATCTGCATCTGGCCAAATCACAGGGGTTCACTCAAGTTACCATCTAGGTTTTTGGTCACACTGTACTCGCATAGTCAAATACTGAGGTCCGGCGTACATCAAATGAATGCAGTGTTTTACTAAAAACACTACTGAGGAAGATACATACATGTGAAAAGAACAATAGCCAATAAGTCTCAGGGTGAGATTAGGCAGCACATAGTGACTCCGTGACAAACATTTATTGTGTATCAATGTTTTGTATTCTGATAAAAAAAAAATTTTGTCTTTATTAAACTAGGGTGGTCTTTTAAGGTTAAATGACCTCAAAGCCAAAATGACAGCTATTACACACCATACGTGACATTCATGTGGGAGATGTTGGCGTGATGCGTTAAGCCTCTTTTCCACGGCCAAATGACCCCGGGTCAAATCTTAGGGATAGTACCTGGTACTATTTTTGCTATCACCTCTGTTGAGGTTCCAGGCGAGCCGATGTGATACCAAACGGTGACATGTAAACACTGAAAACTGCCAGTTGGTCAGAGAAATATCTTACCACTGATGAACCCGGATGACGACAGCAATCACTTGTTCTTCATTTATTCATAATAGGGGAGAGTTGAACATACTGTTCATATAGAAAATGACTGGCCTTACCCTTTAAGTGCAGCCCTAGTTGACTGTGATTACTGAGAGTATCACATCTGTGTGATAAAACATTCAAGAATTGCTGAACTGAGCTGGGAATGAAACATGGTCTTTAAGAGGCACATGTGAGGATTTGAAACGACAACCAATAGAAAGTGTGTAAACATATTCCTGTCCATCCTATGAATTCACAAACTGAAAACCTTATACTCCCCTCTTTAGGCGCTATTTCATGACTCACCCAGCCTCTTACATCGATCCAGACATGCATTGATCACACCCGCCCAACACACACACACACATTTTTGCATTCCCATCGCCATTCCTCTGTTTGGAGCAGTGACAGAGTGACTCCGGAAAAGCACCACACCACCTCAGGAGGGGTGACACATAGACGTGTATGTGTTTGTCAAAACGATGTGTGCCCAGGATGTCATAGATGTAGGTGGGTGACATTAGGTGTATGTCATCTGGTCTGCTGAGTGCAAGGGGTTGTAAGCAGTTAACGGCACTACCTGAAATAGCTTCCTATGTCATGCAGCAGTGCAGAACTACATGCATGTAGAACGAGTTATGTGGTTTGAGACCTGCTTGTGTGTGTGTGCACCTGTCACCTGTGAACAAACAGCCCAAGCTTTCCTGCTCATTAGGCGTCTTCAGCACCTCTGCCAAGATGCACAGCTCCCCTGCGGAGAGCACACATGCACACACTTTTGTTCACTGTGTATATATATAATAATTCATGCATGCACACAGTCATATGTGCACGTGCTGACAATGAAATAGCAATTACAGCATACTGCTCATCATAACTTACATCTCCACGTACCCTCATATCTCCAGCATTTCCAACTTTTCTGCTAAACAAATGACACACACACTTCACTCGCACACATCCAGTCAGTCCATTTTTCACTGTGAGCTTCCATTAAGAAGCAGTAGCCCACAGACAAGCTCACTGACCGTGTAAAAAAGATTTGCTTTCTGCGGCTGATAAGCAAGCGATTACTTTTTGCTGTGGCTGCAGTTTATTTCTTTGTTTTGTTTTGTTATTCTTCTCCATGCACATGACGAGAGGGAAGTCGTATGTACCTTGAGTCAGAGACTGATTGATTATCCTCCGCGCAGTTTGGAGCAGATGACAGCAGCGGGTCTGGGCTGGGAGCCATGTTGAGGCTGGTTTACTATGTTGGAAGTTAACATCACTTTACTGAGTTCTGAGGACACTGGAGGGATGTCTGTAGTTTTATTTATCTACACAGTTTCCATTTAGTTGTGTTCCAATTGTCAGAGAACTCCTGCCGCCTTCATGTGCAAATCCTTCCCTGTTCTGCTTGAATTAGAACCTGTGGCTTTTAACAGTTGTTTGTTTTTTTTAATCTACTAATATGGAAGAAATATGTAGATAAATAATATCTGCACTAGAACATGACAGATACTGTGGGAGGACTTCAGTCTCACTTCCACTCATTATGTCAGTTATCTTTGTTTTTCTTCAGTATGAAAATACACAAGATAAAACCTTGGCAGATGCAGCCTATTTTCTGGAATCTTTCAGAGCGGAGACGGGCTGATTTAGGGAAAAGCTGTGCAGCTTTTCACTGTGAAGCACAGACACAGATAGGATTTTGTCATATAACTTCTGATCACACCAGTGCCATTTTTGCAGGACTTGGGTTTAATTGCCTTTATTCTGCTTCCCAGTTGTAAATCAGACTGATTACACTAACAGGTCGCTGGCTTCTCAGCACTTAGTAAAATTTCTGTACAGTATGTGGTAGACATTAGCTCACCTCCCATCGCTTTGTCTCTTCACTGCAGTGACAAACTTCAACAATGGCTTGGAGGCCAGTTCAGACTCCGATGATGAGGACAAGCTACACATTGTGGAGGAGGACAGCCTGCAGGAGCCTGAGGCCGCCACCACCACCGATGCTGATGGGACCACACTGCAGGACAGCCATGACGCCACAACAACAGTATTACCCCACAACGGCTCCTGGAACGGAGGTGAGATAGAAACATGAGTGTGCTACCTTTTTCAGGACCTGGATGCTGTTCTTCATGTGTAAAATCTCTTTGTAAATGTAAATTGCTCCCTATTGACCAAGGCAGTTCTAGGGGTGGTTCAGAGCCAGTGCCTTAATTTTGAACTAGTTCTCTGTGTTTTACAGCCAAAGAACTGGCTCTTGGCCCGGATAACTGGTTCTAACTTGGTTCTGACTCTCTGTTGGTCTAAACTAACAACTGCTTATGTCACAACAAGACAGTACTGTAGTCTTACCTAACTTTTAATGCAAAAAGAAAAACATGAGCTTCATTGACATGATGTTGAAGCAGCAGTGGACCATGGGGGAGACACTGTTAGCTAGCTAAAGCCTAACCTCTTATATTCAGTGTTGATATGAATCAAACATGTTAGGTAATTTCCTTTCTTCTCAAACATAATCACCATCCATAGAAATCACAATGAGCAGCACAAATCTGTTGGACAGGTCATGTTTCAATTCCAATGTGGGCTCGCAAAGCCAGGAGCAGCACTGCAAAGGAGATGTGGAAGTCCGCCATCGTTGTTATTGTGCTTGGCGCTAGCATCGCTGGGAAAGCAGAGGCATATTCAGACGTATACAGTGACGTAAATATGTGGCTCTGTGGTGGCTGTCTAATCCGTGGAAAACCAGAGTGGTTCTTAAGCAATTTGCAATTTGAACCAGCTCCAAACTGGCTGTAGCACTAGCTCAGTACTAGCACTTAGTTCATGTTGCTCCAAAAGGGGTAAATGTAGGGTGGTCGTCGCGTGGCCTCAGACTGAACCTTTAAGATTGATCATCATACTGTCTGTTAATTCTGGGAAGGTTTTCTAAACATGTTGGCTCATCTTCACAGTGCCGTCTTTCAGCTTCACACCATAACACACACTTGCAGCTGGGGGCTGCTCAGTGCGCCCTCACAAGCCCTCTCCACACAGCTCTGATGCAGCACTTGGGAAATAAGTTAAACTTTTAGCAAGATGCAGCTTGGTACTAGCAGATCAGGAAGGCTAGTGTTCTTTGCTTTAATTGCACAGATGTTTCTAGCTTATAGATCTGAATCAACAAATCTGGATCCTGTTTCTGGACCAGGAATCAAGCAGTGATAGTTGATAGTGTCCATGAGTATTATTCGTTTTTATCATGGCTGTAAATAAACTTAACAAAGTACAGTAAAAATAGTGTGAGTCAGCTCTGTATGGTAGTAGTCTCATCTTTTCATGGTCATGTATTGGCTCTTCTGTTTCAGGAGATAAATTAGAACAGGTGGTGAGATTATCCTCGCGACTCTTATCAGTGGAACTAAACTGGGACAGAACCAGACTTGCGCTCACTGAGTTGACTGTGCTTCATTGTGTAAGAGAACACAAGCCAAAGCACATATAGAATGCATTTTTTAAGTCTTTTAATGAATTAATGTGATGGCCCAGACAAAAGTAAGCATTCTGCTGGGGGTGTCGCTGTGCAGAGCAGCTAGAAGCACGAGTCAGCTGAACCCAGCTCAGTGTGGTGTTACATTGTCAGAACAGAGAAACTGGGATCAAAACCAAGATAATCTGAGCAGTGAGAACATGTAAAAGACAGAAAGGAGGAGTGGACATGAGCATATATTAAAGACGGTTGTAATGTGGTTATAATCAGAGACACATGTATCCTTTCCTTTATTGTACAACCTTCAACACATTTGTATTTTAGCCTTTGTATGTCATGTTTTTGGTTTTATCTTCTGTGGAAACAACCAGATGTCAAACCAAAGGCTGTTCTAGATGAAAGCTGACAATCATGAGACAAAAATGGTAAAATTTTTGTCTGGGTCCAAAAGTATGCTGCTATATCAGACGCCTATAGTAAATTGTCACAACATGTTTACAAACCAGCCGACTATAATATGCAGTGAACTTATGCAGAATATACTGACTGATGAAGCTGCAGTATTTTTCCTGATTACATCTTTGTCCCAGGTAATCATCACTTAATCTGATGTGCAAAAAAGGTTTTGACAGGTTACAACCAAGATTTTGTTTGATCCATCTAGTGAGGTCTGCAACATCGCTGTTTTCACACAGCATATAGAGGTTTATTCTTTACTGTTGGTGATTTAGAGCCCAGTATGTCTGAGGTACTTTGTCTGTGTCTGTCTACCTGCTCTCTCTTTGATCAGATTAGTTCCACCCTCCCCTCAGCCTTGGGGAACGCCCGCTTGCCTGCAGAGCCAGATGTTCTGCTTTTCCTGCCTGTCCTCTCTTTTCTGACTCCCTGTACATCTCCGCATCATCCTATAGGCTTATCAAACTACAACACACAAGCATTATCCCCTCCTTCTGAATTGGAGTCTCTCTCATAAAACACAGCGACAAGCTTTATCATCATATCTTGTCATCTCTGTCCTCATACTGGTGTCAAACTGCTTCTCTGTTTGACAGAAACGCTATATTATATATTTATGATGTGTTGAAGTTCTTTGCTGCATTAATTACTGAGGAAAAACAAACAGCTGCTCATACCTAATTTTAAAATGTATCTTAAATTGCTAATGGTTATTTTTAATTACTGATTATTCTGGCCATTCTATATGCAAGAAAAAAGTGTTTATCGCAACTTCCTAAAGTCCACTGTTATGTCTTCATACGTCTTGTTTGTAATGATATTTGTAATTTTGCAATATCATGTTTTTTTTTTTCTCAATACTGTAGTGGGACTGTGACGGTATCTACCAGGACATTACACTTAGTTATTTTAGTAGTATAACTGCATTCAGGTCGCTGGTTTGAAACTGATGTAGCGGATGCTCCGTCATCAACCTTTAGAGCTGTTGTGTGGCAGCATTGCAGATTTCCCATTTCAAAAGATGACCCAGGCGAAAAGGAAACTGACACACAACTTGCAAATACTGCTTGGCGAAGGCAGTACTCGCCCTGTTTAGGACCGAGACAGCCCTGGATACATCTGGCAGAAACAGTCAGGGCACAACTGTGTGCTACATTTAAACAGACTTTTTATCGTGGCAGTATCATATCCTCAGTTTTTGGTATCATTGCATCCTTATTAATAAGTGATCAAAATAGATGGTGGTTATTTTTCTGTCAGTTATTTCAGCTTTGTGTTTGAGTGCACATGTTTCCACCTGTGTACTCTGTAAAGGCAGGAGTGTTGACTGAGATATTAATGAAATAATGTTCTAATGAGTTCCCTCATTACCACTACTGGGATCATGTGTGGGGGCTTGAGTCAGCTACACTACTGCTTGTTTATCAGTGCAGACAGGTGTTATTTGCTATGCATGTCTACTTGTAGACTAACACAGAGCAGGTTTGGTTATGCAATATGCATCATATCTGCCTTATTAGGTTCAGTTGAACCTTGTGTTACTTAAGTTTCCTGCCGTCCTTCGTCTTATTCTACCTATTTATAGTCTCAGAGGTTTCAACAGCTACAGGAAGTGTAGACAAAAATAGATGTTCAGGACGCTTTAGGCCTTTATTTTGAAAATTCCCAGAAGCTTGTAAAAGCTCTTTAAAAGTTATATTTAAACCTCAACATATCCTCCAGTAAGTTTGCAGGATTAGCTTCTTAAAGCACGTTCAAACATGCGACACACCTTACATACAGTCCAAACAGTAAAAGTACCGTAAGATTTAATAAGCAGAGGCAGAACCAAGTCTGCATTCAGCTGGCTTGTGTTTACAACACGTCTCAATGCCCTTTTAATCCCAGATTCCCCACAAACAGCTCAGCCCACGCAAGCATCTGCCTTCATCTCCACAGCGGTTAGTTACAGCCAAGCAGGAAATACTAAAACCATGGAGATGTCGAGAATGTGACACTTGGAGGTATTGCTCTGAAGGCTGTTTCATTGTTGCTGAAGCCTTACATGGTGTGAGCAGTGCTCAGGAGCTGCTGCTCGCTCTCTACTTTCCCTCCTGTGTACCTGCTGTTTTTCTGGAGTCACTGATCCCTTTTCATCTATCTGTGTTCTTCTTCTGCACTTGCCACTTACTTTTTTGTGTGTTTGTTTCACCTCTTTTCCCGCTAGGCCTTCAACTACAGATGTTATGCGAAAGCCTCTCCTCAGTGTTTGAAGTGATGGGTAGTGCTCTGCTGGCTTCGGATGTTATTAGCCCTTAATTAACCACAGAAGAGGTGCTGAGTTTGTTGTTGTTCCGTACATCTCAACATTAGCGCCAGTTGTTTGACTTTTTTGACCAAACTAACTTATGGCCTCATCCTCCCAATGCTCTAGCAGGCCATATTAGAGCCTGAGGCCAGCATATTACCGGTAGACAAAACTACAGCAGAAACCATATGTTTGAGGTCATTTAAGAAACCGTGTCACTCTTGCATTTATTTTCCCAGCTGTAAAATGTCTGAGTACATAACCAGGTCACAAATGTGCTTATTGGCTGAAACATTGCTATTGGAATTTAATAGTGTCATATATTGACTTTGTTGATGCCATATGGACGTTGCACTAGTTGATGGTTATTGTACTTTTGATCCAAAGTTGTGAGGCTGTAGTGTTGAGCAAAGGGAAACAGTTTATTTAATATGCCGTGATTTTCCACCCCTGATCTTTATCAGGTGGTTTGCATGGAAATAGCGTCGGATGGTAAACTTGTGTGTGTACATGCACCCCTACTTGAGTTATTCTACAATACATAAGAGCTTAAATACATATAATCTAGTGATGCTAGTGACCAAAACATTTAGCATAAAAACAGAGCAGCACACAGGCACATCTCTAGAAGAGCACAGCATTTTCAGAAGGTGTTAATCGGTGAAACTGGGAAATCTGAGTCTCGGTACAGGACTGCCTTCCTTGCCATCAAGGCAAGGAAAGTTTATTTCTATAACACGTTTCCATACTGAAAGGCAATTCAGAGCACTTAACCCACTGCAAACAAATAGCTAAAACATTAAATTGCAAATGAGATTAAAATGCTAATTAAAAGCAACAATTTCATAACAGCACAAAGTAGCAAC